AAGCACAGCTAGGACTCCTTTACAAACACTTCCAACCTTGTTTTACATGTGACTTTTGTAAGTGGCAAATAGACTAAGCTTTTATCTTTTGGATTTATGTGTTTAGCGTATATATGGTTCACACTATGTACATAAAATGCATCATTAATCTTGCTTATCTTGCTAATAATTGTCCCACCTGCCACTCTTCTGATAGCCAAAGTACAACACAATTCTACCTACTTTGCTCTTGAGTTCTGCTTTTTAGCTGTAAATCCTGGGTACATGATTATTCTCTATTGTTTCATATAGTCTGCATCTGCTCAATTTAGTGTCTGCTCTTCTCATTGCTCTTCCTTCCTTCATCTCAGGGATAGCTTAGAATTTTCTAAAAGGGCGGCATGCAGAATTTCAGGTGTTGGTGATGGAACAGAACTCAGTTTATTCTTACTCTTGAGACTATTTTAGTGGGAACAGGTTGTCTTGTGGATCACTTTCCTTTCAGACACTGGCATCCGTTGCTGCTGTTGAGGCTTCTCTTTCCTTAGATGTTTCCTTAGAACATCATGTTTTGTTCTGGCTTGCTCCCATATTTTTATTAGCACGTGTATGAAATAATGGGTTTATACATTTTAATGTATGTTAATAATTGCTCTGCTCAAATCTGTACACTCACACCCACCCTGTGCTCTCCAAAGACACCCTCTGCCACTTCAGGCTTGCAGTTTCACTCTCCTGTTTGGACACAGCTTTATTTTGCTAAGGATTCATTGAGATTGGGTCATTAGATGGTTTCCTTACCCCAGTTCAGGTGAATCCCAAGGCCATATGAAAACCAAGCATTTATTAGTTGTACAAAGTAAGGACTTTCAAGACCTTCACTGTGTATCCCAAGCTGGCCCAATTTGTGTTCTTCTACCTCAGCCTTCTTTAAGACACTTTCACCGATGTATACATGTACTTTGATCCTACTCAACCATTATCATCCACCTCCTGTTGGTCCCATTCGTCATCCTAAACCGCTCATCTGCATTCACACCTTACAAAAAGATTCTAGAAATGATCAAGAACTTTTACTACCCATCCAAGCAAGCCTGGCGTATTTTACTTCACCTGAGTGTCTTCTGATGGGGGAATGCCCTTCTGAATATATGTTTCTCTTATTTGTTGATGTATAAAACACTTATTGGCCAGTAACCAGGCAGGAAGTATAGGCAGGACTATGAGACAAGAATTCTGGGGAGGAGGCAGAGAGGAGCTGCCAGAGACTCCATGTAGCTACCAGGAAGATATGACAATGGGCATTCTTTGGTAAGATAAGGCCATGTAGAAATAGATGGATTGTAGTTGTGGGTTAATAATTAAGAGAGAGCTAGCTAGTAAGAAGTCTAAGCCATTGGCCAAACAGTTTTTTATATAAACCTCTGCGTGTTTATTTGGGACTGAAGGGCGGCAGGACTAGGTGGAACAGAAACTCTGCCTAGTCTTCAGTTGCATCCATTTTCCTGCAAAAGATGTTTGTTGTTCTTTATGGATGAATCAGAAGTTACTGCGGATACACACTAATTTGATGTTAAGGCACACCTAAAATGGTTTCATAACTGAGCTATTGTAAAGAGTGCAGCAACAAACTTGAGTGGCATATACCTTTTAATAATGATGGTGACTTGGAGTTTATACCCAAAGTGACTATTTCTATTTTATTTTTTTTAATTTAATTTTATATAACAAAGTCCAATTAAATGAAAACAAACATTTATACACAATATTTGGGAATTTGGGCGTCGTTCTTTCCAAACTGCTTCCTGCTGGTAAGGGGCGCTGTCTTGGGGGATTCGAAGAAGAGACTATTTCTATTTTAAAAATGTGTAAAACATCCATGCTGCCTTCCGTAGTGGCCACACTTGTACTCCAAGCAGTGTACAAGAGCTCCCTGTTATGAACTGGTTTTCCTGCCAGCCTGGTCCCTCAGTGGCACTAGCCCCAACTAACATACAGAGACACTGTATTTGATATAATGCTGTTAGCCTGTTATTAGCATTTCTTATAGGCTAGCTTTGTCTTAAATATTAACCCATTTCTATTAATCTAAGTATTTCCACATGTTCTTATCTTACCAGAGAAAGGGCCCGATATTTTGAATCTCCTCCGTTTCTTTCTGAATCCTCCTTGTCTCCTTGTCCTGCCTATCTTGCTTTCCTATTGGCCAACAGTGCTTTATTCATTAACCAGTAAGAGAAACATATTTACAGAACGACGTCTCCCATCAGCTCCCTTCCCTCTAAATCAGTATCTGGTACTTTACCCTTGATAACAACCATTCTGACTGGGATGAGATGAGGTCTCATGGGCTTCAATGTGTAGTCAACTGATGACTGAGAATACTCAATCCCATGCATTTATTTTACTGGCGATTCCTACTTCTTTTGAGAAGTCTGTCCAATTCCTACTCTTTAGGGAGTTGTTTTATTTTTTGAGTTTTTGTATATTCTGGACACTCATCTCCTGTTAAGACAGATAGCAAACAACTCCAATCTGTGGGTCCCCTGCAATTGTTCTTGAGCCCTAATTAATGCCTATTTGGCCACTTGTGGTGGTTCACTTCCATTTTCTCTTAACAGTGAGGTCTTTGATTCATTTGGAGCTTATTTTTAGACAGGATGGGAAACATGGCTCCAGTTTTATTCTTCTACACATGGGCACCCTATTTCCCAGCACTCTTTGCTGAAGAGGTTGTCTTTTCTTCACTGTATTGACACTCAATCAAGAATCAAGTAGCTGCATGTTAATCTGTTGCATTGGTCTATTTTGTGCTAATATGTGTTGCATATGTATTTGTATGTGTGTTGTCAGTGCTGTACTGTTTTTTTGCTTAAGTTGAATTTCTTAAACTATATCATCTAGCTTGTTTTCTTTGCTTCTAGAGCACTCCTAAGACCAAATGTTGGGTCCTTTTTTTTTTTTTTTTTTTCTTCCAGGTTTTGTTTGTTATTTGCTTAACTTGCACTACTTTCTGTACTGAACAATTAATTCCTTTGGACTCATCTTCCAAGCCACTGGGTCCTTTTTAAGTTTTGCATTTTGAAATTCTCACTCTGTCAATCCTTTCAAATATTACATCATTTAAAATTCACTCCCTGGTATGTTTAGTGATTAAAAATAAAATTAAGGAACATGCTAATCTGTCCCAAGTCTAGTGTCTGAATTCCTTGCATTTATTAATGGTGTTTTGTGGGATTATTCTGAGTGGTTCATATTTCTTAGAACATTATTCTGACAGCTCTTTGAGGTTATGCTTTTATGTCTACCACCACATAAAGGATTCTGCTCACTTCGTTCAATCTGTGTTTAGTCTGACCTCATAAAACGCAAGAATGTGATTTGGACTGCAAGAGCAACTTAAGAGCCTTTATTTATTTATTTATTTATTTATTTATTTATTTATTTATTTATTCGCTTACCTTCTGAGTCTAAGCAGATTTTCTCTGAGTGTCCCAGGGACTTCAGGTTCTGCTGGCTTACTTTATCCTCAAGCATAGACTTGGGGACTTCCTAGGGGCTGGCTCACCTTCATCCTGAAGGGTAGATTTTGGAAGCTGGCTGTTGCAGCATCTCTGTACATCAAGCCCAACCTGGTGTGCACAAGTGAGTTCAAAAGTTCTCATTTTGGTGAACATTTCTGGGCAAAAGTGATATCCTGTTTGATTTCTTGCTAGTTCAGTACTCAGAAAATCATCAAGAACTTGGTGTTGCTGTCTCACACTGTTATCAGTTTAGATGGGAGCTCACTAGGTAGCCCTGGCTGGCCCCGAACTCACCACCTTCCAAATGCACCTTTCTAGTGCTAAGATTCCAAAGCACACTGATTTGCTTCTGGATTTCTTGCTTTCCCTTCTTGAACTTGTTTTTCCATTCCTAACAACCATGATATGGGCATCAGTGAGATTAGGAAGCTAGAGTACATAAATTGCGTTTATCCACAAATAAGAATTTCCATGAGAGGTCTAGGTTTCATCAAATCCTGTACTTGTATCTTTAAAGTTAAAAAAACGATTGAATTACATATAAGGTAATCTTGGGCAAATAATGCCAGTTTTCTTTCTCATCTATATGTTTATGAAACTACTACTCCAGGAGCTTAAGAAAGGAATACATTACAGTTTCTATCTGTACCTGGAGATCCCTGACTAGCTGGACTGGCTGGTCATCCAGTGAACCAGGCCCAGCACACACCCAGCTCATCCAGCCTTTTCTGGGTGCTGGAGACTTGAACTTGCGGCCCCAGGTTTGTACAGCAAACTTTTTTTGTTTTTAAACCATCTCTCCAGTTCAACTTTCCTGTAACTGTATCCTTTTCCTTTCTCTTTAACCGATGCTGACAGTATTCTTTGCTTATATTTTGCACGTTACCTTCATGAGTTCACTGTCAGTTGTTCTCGGGTCCTTTGTAATCTTGACATGTCTTATCTGGAAAATGGAAGGTAGTGGACTATCTCAGCTTTGCAGGCTCTAGTTTGAGTTTCAACTACTCAACCCTACCACTGTAGCAGGAAAGCAATGATCACCATAACTAAATGAGTAGCTAAGGCTATGTTCCAATGAAATTATCTACAAAACAGATGGTTTTGGTCTGTGTGCATGTATGTGAATGCCAACGCCTGCTACACACTCACTCTCCAAAGCTGTCTTCTTCGCTGTGCCTCCAATGCATGCGCGAACGTGGCACGCACACGCGCACGCGCACACGCACACACACACACACACACACACTTGTGTGCATGAGCACGTCTTTCCAACACCTGGAAGGGCCCTTCTGTTTCCAACCCTGTATTTTCCAGACACCTATTCAGTCTCTGCATTTAAATGTCCCTTGTCCCATGAACCTGGTGCCCTCCCAACACTCCTAATAAATGGTACTGCCATGCAGAGCTGCTGAAGACAGGAAACAGGAGCAATCATCAACACACCCTCCTCTCATCTTCTAATTCTGGAAATGGCATTATTTGACACACACAGTCAAATTTAACATTTCACTAACAGAACTAAACTTTATTTCCATGTTTATTACATGTTGTCTTTGATGAAGAGTACATATTAGAATTGACTTAACATACAACTTGGGAGAAAGCTTGATATTCTCCACTGAATGGGTTAAAAAGTAATGTAAAACTACAAAATACTAGTTTAAGTGAGCTCTAAGTTATGGTAAATACAACAACAAATACCTTGCTATTTTTCTCTAATTTTCCAAGATGGATTCCACTATAAAAGCTTTTTTCATAACAGTTCATTTAAAGAAAAGAAGGGCTACTCATAATAAAACCTTTTTACTTTAAATATAGGGTACAAATAAGTCAACACAAAATCCTACTTCCTACTTATGAATTAAAGGGAACTAATGCCAACTGCAAATCTAGTGTCTTAAGTCTGTATACATTATTCGCTTTTGTCAGGAAGAGTTAGGCCAATCTAAGGGTGACACACAGAACAACTCCACTTGACATTTATGTCATCCATTTGGTACTCAGGATAGAGATGGCCACTACTGCTTGGTGACAGAAATTCAAAATTCATCAGTTCCACGGGGACCAGAGCCAAGAGAAATTACCCAATCTACTCCTGGACCCACTCGCACAAATGGGAGACTTCTAGTTCTCACTAAACGTTTCAGGGTAAAACAGACATGTGGAGCTGCCCGAATTCACAGAATACAAAAACACTGCTCAGTATGACACCGATGACAGCTTTGTGTAGTACTCTGTAAGCCTGGTGGCATATTTTGTGAAGCTGTACCTCTCCTTTCAGGGAGCAGACATAAGGGTCTACACAATAGAAACTGGTTTTAAACAATAATCTACCTGTGTATACCTCTCAAGTACCGGGATTACCACTGCCTACCATGATACCCATCCAGGACATGACTTTTTAATCTTACGTACATTTTCATTGTCTTGAGCCAGGGTCTCAAATAGCTCAGGCTAGCCTGGATGTATTATGTAGTCAAGGATGTTGATTCTGACCCTTATGTCTCCACTTCAGTTCTGGGATTATAGGCCTGCACCACACCAAATCCAGACTTCTTAAATTACATTAAAAAAAAAAAATCAGTTTAAGATAATTTTTTTTTTAACCCATGTATTGCAAGATAAGGATCACTAAGTCAGTAATGATCCCTGCTCTCCTTAAAAATTTGAGGATCATCTCAAAACTTCCAACTCCTTTCATTAGATTACTGATACCTCTCATGTGACTGTTTTAGATGACTCGTGGCTTTTAAAAATTTCATCTTAATGGCAAGTTGTTAAAACTTATCTAAATCAATTTCTAGTATCAGATTCTTAAATGAGAAGGAACAATAGAAACTCCATAAAAATTCAGTTTCCTTCCTTCCCAGAAAAACCAACATCTCTCTCAAATTCAAAGGCATGTTCCTTTTCTTAGAACAGAGGTCAGTGAGCTTTCTGTGTTTGTGTTTAGTGAACATTCCAGGCTTTGTGGAGTATTTGTTCTCCATTGCAACTACTCAATTTCTGCCACTGAAGTGGGAAACAGCCTTAGACAGAACATAATTACAATGAAGGAGCAGCACCAAGGTGGCCTGCAGGGCAGCTGGCCAACCCTGCCTTAGAACCAACCCAGGGTCAGTAGTCATCCCGAAGAAACTAGTGTCTAGTTGGATGCAGTGGCCAAACCAGGGTCTAGCAGTAAGTCCCTATAAATATTTTGATATAGGATATTTTAAAATTTGCCACAACTCTGATTGAGTTAAGATTCTTCCACTAAGAATCACACTTTCCATTGGGGGTAATATCAAGAACTTGCTTAAAAAATATTAGTTACTGAGGGTTTAATTTAAAATTAATAAATGATGTCCATACAGTTTAATATCCAATTTAATTTTTTAAAAACTTAATGAAAACATAACAGAATCAAAACATTTAAAATAAGTACACTCACTACCCACTCCAGCAATTCATTTAAGTCATACCAACTATAGAATATGAAAAATAAATTCAGAAGTGTAATTACTTTAAAATACACTACTTCCACTTTCAATATTTTACATTTATGTATATATTCTATAGTGGAAGCAGAAATTCTCTCTAAAAACATTATCTTCTTAAAATCTTGAGGTGCATATTAGAGCTACAGGCAATATCTGACATATAAAACTGCAGAACAGGCCTTTCGAATTTGGCATTTCACTGGTACAGTACAATGACCAAGGTATAGAACTGTACAATGCCTAGAACATTCGAGTAAGAACCATAATTCCTTTCAATATAGAATGACTAATGTATATTCTACAAGGGCAGTGAGGTTAGTAATTCTGTTGGGTATATGTCCTGACATAATTTCCAAATGTACAATAACACAAACAATTTTGTTAAGGCCATGTTTTATTTGCTGATTAATGGACAAAAGGCAATGCAATTTATTTTCAAGTATTTTCTTGAAAGTCTGTGCTCATAAAAATCATGAAAAGTTGGAAACAGACTGTTAAATCACTGGAACTTTAAATATATCTTACACAATCTCATTTGTACAAAAATACAAGTTAAATATAAACATAAAGCAGTCATGGTAATTTTATGCAAATCTGTTTTATGTGATCTGTAGTTATATATAAAAGTTTCTTGGTTCTGTGATTTGTGAAAAGGTCAACACCAGATTGAGTTACTACCTATTAGCAAAGGGCCCTAGAAAGCTTACTTTAGCATTAATCTTGTACATGGTTATAAGTGTTTCCTAATTTGAGATCATCTAAACATTGGCAAAAAGAAAATAAAAAGGGCAGTATGTCCATAAACCAACAAATAATCTGGCTGTAATGTATCATAAACACAAACCCACACATCTGTACAATGAACATGTTATTACATACACACAAGCGCACACACAGTGCACGTATGTATACACACACTGCACAAACAACAACCAGGCCTAATGAGGTGCCACGTCCTGCTCGATATTCAGCTGTGCATTTTTTCTGACTTCATCAAACGAATAGCTTTTTGTCACCTTCCCATTCTTGAAAACCGTATGGAGAAGATCCTGCAGAATGTAAATTTTGCCATTAAAAAGACCATCAAATATGTGAAGTGTGGACCAATTTACCTAAGAGGTCAAACACACAAAGGTGCTGACAAGTGCCCACTTACAACAGGAGAAACAAACCTCAGATGACCAGCTTTTGTATTACTGAAGAAACGTGCTTTCAAGGGAGAACTACTGCTGTCCCTGCTAAATTACTCCTCCAGAGCCTGACCAACAGCCTCAAGGTGGCTTGGACTGGTCAATCTAGAAGTTGAATACATTTGTTATCTATTAAATTTTGGCCTTAAAAAAGGACAAAAATCCAAAAATTAAACCCAAGACAGAAAGATAAAATGCACTGATTCTTTTTGGTCTCATTTACAGTGACCAAGTTACACAAAGATTGCAACTGCAAAGTCACAGATAAACATCAATAGAGGACAAGGACTGAATTCGTTTCTATATGAAGAATCCATTGAAATTCATCTTAGTTTTCTTTCTTACAGTACGTATGACATTAACTGGTATCTTGTGTGCTCTAAATTGCATCTGGATGTAGCATTTTCTTTTGTAAGTTTCAAAACATGCTACCAGAGAATTCTGGGTTTTATGTCTTAACCCATGTCTCCATAATCCAAGAGATCGATCACCTCTCTACTTCTGCCCGGACAGACATTAGAGCACTGCTCACACCCATGTTTCCTCTGACTTTAGTCTCAACTGGCCTTACTTCACTCAAGATGACCCAATTCGCAAGAGCAGTGGTACCTCCAATTGTAATGTGAAGTCTATATAGAGAATTGCTGGTGGGCTACAAAGAGATTTAATTCTAGAAACCTGACCTACACAAGTTCACATAGATTTTCATAGAAAGACGGATTATTTTACTGATTCCAGACCTTAAAAGACACAAGGAATAAAACTGTCATAAGCAGTCACATTTGCACAATGTCATCACAGCACTGTGATGCAGAGCATAAATACTCAAAACAAGTTTCCCCTCTCAATGTGAATCGCCCTCCCATCTAGTGACTAGAGATCAGTGATCTTCGCTTTTGGGCACACAAATATAAGTGTATTTATGGCGTGCCTGCAGCATACATACAGTATGTTCTTTCCCGTTTGGTTAACCAGAATCAGAAAACTCAGTATGGCTTTACCATCTATAATTATGTAATCTGAACCAACCCACTATATTTCTATGCTACTAAGATAATTTACTTTTTTTTTTTTAAAGCTCAGAATTCCATGAGAATGAAGTAAGACCAAAGAAAATCTTCTTAAATGGTTATTATTAAGTTCTGAAGAAACAATTTTCTTCAAACAATGTGGAATTTAGCTAGTCCATCCATTATAAAATGACAATATTTTATCCTAATACAAATAGTTTTGCAATGTCTAAGGGTAACATTTAAAAAGTATTATTTGTTATGCTTCTCCAGAAATTATTCACTGCTAACAGTAAGAATAAGACCAAATATACAAAAAGCCTCTTAAAGACCATCAATATCTATCATGTTGGCCACTATGTGGGGGGGGGAGGGTGGAAGTATTCTGAAAACAATTTGAAAGTATAACACAAAACTCCCATTCCTTAAACTGAAAATCCAGTTTACTACTGTTAAAAACTCCAGTTAAGCCAGGTGGTATTGGCACATGCCTTTATTCCCAGCACTTGGGAGGCAGAGGCAGGCAGATCTCCATGAGTTCGAGGCCAGCCTGGTCTACAAAGTGAGATCCAGAACAGCCAGGACTATACAGAGAAACATACACACAGACACACACAGAGACACACACACAGACAGACACACACACACACACACACCCTCCAGTCAATAGACAGATACTCACGTGGCCATATTCCTCAAGGTCTCCTTTTCCTTCTTCAAGTGTAACGAAGTTCCCTGCTGGTGTCCTATGTAAAGATAACCGGCCCTTCTTTGACCTTTTGTTGGGATCAGCAACTGGGTCCTTAAAGACATTAACCTGAAATCCACAATAAGAGAAAAATTATAAATCACCATCCACTAAATGTCTCTAAAAACATGTTATCAGCTCAATGCCACAGCTCTCACCTGCACACAAGGCTGGTTGGATCCCTAGAGAGAACCACTTTGGTTTTTCTAAGGTGTATTATAAACAAGCATAAAGAGTCTATGGTGTTGCATGTATAGTTAGTTACATCACTCCACAACTGACTGTTTTCCTTCAAAATAGTCATGCTATGGAAACCCAAATCTTGAATATCTTCTACAGGATGACTTGGAGAAATTTACCACGTGGCCCTTACATTACAAGTTACAGACATGTCGTAACCTCCAGTAGAGGCTGGAGATACAGTTATGAGGTAGGTGTTGGGGTGAGGCACTTACACAAAGGTGTAGCAGCTGGAGAACCTGCTGGGCATGGTGGTGCAGCCTGTAAGCCCAGCACTTGGGAAGCAGACAAGAGGACTGATACAAAGTCTGATTTAGCCAGTGCCACATTGCAAGACCCTAACTCAGGGCAGTAGCAACAATAAGGAAAGATTGTTATATAACCAGAAAGGCAGGAGGCAAAACACTAACAGATGGCAGTGGCAAGGAGGAGCACCAAAGAAAGGTGGAGGACAGCACGCCGGCTTTCTTCAGGGTTTTTATCTGTAATTACTGTGTGCACGAGTGTGAAGGCGATCAAGTGTAAGTTTGCGGAGTTGGTTCTCTCCACCACCTTTATGTGGGTTCTGGGGATGAACTCTGGTTACTAGGCTTGCTGGGAAAGTGCCTTTGTATGTTGAGCCATCTTGCCTGCTCTATTCCTTAGGGTCCCTAGCTTTCCCTGAGCCCTACTCCACTGATTACTCAGCCTTTAAGAGGTTATGGAAGATTTGAAAGGATTGTAGTCCAGCTGTACTATGGCTATGGACCATGATTCTGGTATCAGAATCAGAAGCCCAAACCCCTCCCATGTAATAGGATCTATACAGTGATTATTACATACTTGATATCTTCAGTATGTGATGGTCAGACTAGCTGATAATCTTACCTAAATAGAACCAACTTCCTGATATAAAGATATATACCAAAACAATGGCACTGACTGGCCTACACTCGTCTTAAATCACTGTTTACTGGTTTCCACATCTCTTTTCTTAGTACCTGACATCTTTCTTTCCCTGTATCTTAGGTAGCACCCATCAGCACCTAACAACCCAGCAGCATATTTCCCTGTGACTATTACACTCATTGTGCCTTTCCCAGACACAGGAACATAACATGAGAAGAAAAGCTGAAGGACATACCCCAAGGCCATTGGTTACAACATAGCTGCACTTGAAGGAGCAATTCAAGAGGTCCCTTGTCAACTTCTGCAGCAAAGCTCCACCAGAACCAAAGGAGACATTCTCAATACTCCATTTTTTTTGTTTCATTCCCTCTACAATCTAGAAGATTAAAAACAAGCAAACAAATGATCTGGAAGATGATGGAGGTTATTTTCAAAGGGCAACATTGTGAAACTCCTACACTTGTCTTCTACCAGTCAATACTTATAGGCCCAGGCAGGTAATAGTACATTTTCTTTTTAAAGACCCACTCAGGTTGCAATGGGTATATGGAAGGAGGGTTCACTTGCAGATTTTTCAGAGTACAGTAGTCAATGCAGTCAGGCTGAGAGGAAGGAGCCAGAAAACTGGCTATATATACATACCTGAGGCTTTGTGGGCTCTCCCAGCAACCTCAAAGCTACTGCCCAATGCCAGCAACAAAAGCTGAAATACTTGCCCCAAATTACAGGATTTTAGGGATTTCTAACCATCACAAACACATCACAGTGCACTGTGCTAAGTAACAGTTACTGTATGGCACGGGTCAGTGGTTATTGATAGGAGCATGTAACACTTGTACCTAAAAAAATTTCAACCTATCTGGTGCTCCAGTGCATAAACAAAATTATGCACAACACTTTAGATGTTACAATTTATGACTGGGTCACTGCAAAAGAATGATCATCATCTATGAGCCAGCTGAGAGACCGGTACGGCAGTTTCCTTAAGGGTCACAGGATTTAAAAACCACAATGAAGCCATGTTATCAGTGACGTCTGTGTTTCTCTACATGAGGTTTATTTACCAATCATGTACCTTTAATTTAAAAACAAATCCTATTACTTTCATAATAGAAACAGTAAGTGAAATTTATTAACCATTTTTTTTTGAATTTCATGAAAAGCTATGTTCTGTTTAAAAGTACTATTTAAAAAGTATTTCCAAAGTGATTAAAAGGCAGAGGACAGTTACAGCTTTAAAATGAATCATTTACACATTCTTGCCTTGATTTTCAACACTGTAAAAGGAATCAAACCCTAAACACCATCCTGTGTTAATAATCCAACACTGAGAAATGCAAACATTTTTAAAATTTAAAATGCCAACCATCTAATTCTTCTCTCTGTGTATATGCTTTCTTTTAAACCAAAATACGTTTTTCAATGAGAAGAATTAAGGTAAAACACACAGTGTATTTTAAAGTGATTCTTTTAGGCTTTATTCAAATCTGGTCTTGTGTCTGTTACTGTGCCCCGAGGCAGCATGGAGATTCTTGTGCTCACATAAGCACTAGGGGAACCAGGATGTAGACGGACAGGACTGTCTTCAGAAGGCTAGGAGCACATGTGGTTAACAGCCTAGTGACTTTTGCACTATCTGTGTGATCGAGACCAGGGCTTGTCAATCTACAGAGCCCATCTTTATGGAAAGATGTCACATGTACATTATAAAGAGTGCCTTAAGCTTTATTGTGCACACAGGATTGAGTTATTTATCACCAGAAAAAAAATTTCCCAAATTGTGCTGTGCTTAAATATACCTAACATAAAGTACTTGGGGTCAGATTCTTGAGGTTTGAATCAACACTGACCACTTAGTTGTATTGAAACAAACTACCTTCTTGCCTCTCGAGGTGGTCACAAAGAGCCCCCATTCCCAGGGACTGTCACACAGAGATGAGCCTGAGACTCCCCACTGCATGTGCAATAATGAAAAGGAGAGCTTCATATCATGGTATGTCAGCTCAAGTTTCTCCACTCTAGAGCAAGTCAAAAAGCATTCACAAGCAAATCAGAAGAAAAAAAAAATTCAGGGTAGAAGTAAATAGACAAACTGTCACACTTATTGCATAATCCATTTTCATATTTCATACCGAGATATTTAAATTAGTTGAGTAGCCCTTAGGATTTTATTATCTGTTAGCATCACTTATATGAATTGTGTTCCAGTGTCCAAGTTCTTTCCACATATTATGTATTTATGCAGGTCAAAAAAAGTAATTCATTCCCAACATTTACATAAAATCAGTGCTTTCTAGTAAGCTTCAGAATCAAAGTTATAAGTCATAGAAGAAACATACAAGAGATGCGGACAGAAGGGTTGAGGTAAGGGTATAGACAGCTGACAGAAAGGGAAAGCGGCAATGAACTCTATGGAAGATTTTAAGATATAAACCAGGTGGCAGTGGCCCACGCCTTTAATCCCAGCACTCTGGAGACAGAGGCAGGCGGATCTCTGAGTTTGAGGCCAGCCTGGTCTACAGAGTGACTTCTAAGACAGGCTCCAAAGTTATACAGAGAAACCCTATTTCAAAAAAACAAAAACAAAAGTAAGATATAACAGCTTGATAATAAAAACTTTGGAAATCTGTTAAATTGCAAAGAAACCTTCCTTTTTATGGACTGAGGAGTCAGTACTATTTTAATGACATCAGTAAATCATTCTGCTAGAGAATATATAACAGCATCCAAGGAGATCAAGTCCCCAGATCAAGACACCAACAGAAACAGACACTGTATTTTCTCTGATACAAATAAGATTTCTGGCCTCTTCTCTTAAGCCGATATGTTCTGGTTCATTATAGAAGCTAGAGCAGCATGCCACATGACAATGAATGCTGACAAGGAAATCTAAGGATGGGTGAGGTTGGCAGTCAAGGAAAGAAGACAGTTTGTTAGATTACGTTCCCCTGTCCCATTACCAAAACAGGAACTCTGCTTTACATACACAGAAGAAAACTGCTAAGATGAATCCCTTTTCCTGTTTCTAAGACTCCATGTGACTAACTTCCAACACGAAAAAATCAAGTACATTTGCTAGGTATGGTTCTTCTCCCTGCTTCCCCAAAGTGCTTTGCTTTGAGAACCAGTTTAAGACATTTTTCCTACACCCATGAGTGCATTAACAGAAAACTACTTGTCACATGGGATTAGTTTCAATTGTCAGCCTGACACAAGTCTAGAGTCACAGGAAGAGGGAACTTCAATGGAAGAATTCCTCAGATCAGGCAGCCCAGTAGTAGTCTCTCAGGGACATTTTCTTAATTGGTAATGAATACCGGAAGGCCCAGCCCACTGTGAACATGGGCATTTCCAGAGAGGTGGGCGGTGCTGAGAAAGCTAGCTGAGCGAGGGGGTATAGAACTGTCTCAGCCCCTGTCCGTAAGCTCACAGACCACCCAGATCTAGATAATCCCTTCCTGGGACTCGGCTCCCAAGTGACTGTAGATTGTGTCCTGTTGACAACTCTTACATATATGTCGACCTTTTTAAACAAAAGCCTTCGTTCTGTTTCTCTTCAGAATCACAGCAGAAGGTGGCCTGGAGAAGTATGTGCTGGCTGCTTATTTCTGTATTTTAAGCTATTGTTTCTAAACACCAAAGGAATTTACCATGGTAAGTATTCAAAATAAGATTCACAATTGTATTTAAATTTTAATGGGCTTCTTATGAATAAAAAGGAGCTTTTCAAATGGGGATGTCCTTGTACCATTCATGTAAAACACATTACCTCCTGTAAAGTGTTGATATCCACTCCATCGCCCTGAATGACTCTCAGATAAGGTGGCAGTAACTTGTAGCCCTTTGAGTTCTCAGTGACAGGAAACTTCTTGCCTAAAATATCTAAGACCTGCATGAAAAAAAAAAGGACACAAGTAACTAAAATGGGGGTGGGGCTTCCCAAGCTAAGAATCATTTTTCTTTAGTTAACAATTTTCAGAATGCCGAAATCCAGTTATGTAAATGCTTACAAAGCTTTGTAAAATCTGGTTCCAGTACCTTTGAATCCCATTAGAAAAAGGTATGCTCTTTTCTATTTCAGTTCTGTTTGGGTTATACTTGTCTCACTGAGTCACAAAGCTGACAGAAAATGCAACTGTCAAAGTGAGATGGAAACAAAGCATACACAATGTGTACTTTGTCCAAAGCTCTTTGCTCCATTAATGCTAATGTGTGTGACTGATATTTAAGCCACTCTATGCAATGATGGCTACTCAAGATGTTTTCAAAGGCGCTCAAACCCTTAAACACAGACTTGAACTTGATCAGGAAAACTTGTCCAGGGACACTGAAGACCTATCAGCCACATTCCCTCCCACAATAATCGATTCCTTTCCTGACATAAATTGCTTAGAGACCCTAATAAAACTCCATATAAATACCTGTATCATGACTACCACAATGGAAACATAAAAGCTGTTTAGTTTGTCAAAAGTGAAGCACTTCAGGCTAAGACACAGACTGGGCTGTGTACAGAATTGAAAAAGATCTCCTTGAATCTCTGCCCCCACTTCCTATGAGTGAGTGAGTGACAAGCCGTCTGCTTATTAGCTGAGAACAGTTACATGAAGGCTCCAGACAGAGGCCTACCCTGGATATTAGACCCTACTTCTGAGTTTCTCAACCCTGGTGGGTCACTTCCTCCTTTACAACAGAGATGGTAAGAGCCACGTGAGGGTTTTTTTTTTTTTTTTCTCCTTTAATGAGATTAAAGTAAACATTTTGGTGTAAAACACCAAATAGTATTTCTCTGGTAGAAGGCATAAATTAACCCCTGCTGGGACAAATTCTCTGTAAAACAGGCAAATAAAGCCCTGAGCACTAAAAACGCAGCTCTGCTTGGAGACAGTTCTAGCTCCAGCCAAGTATGACCTGAAAAGCAGTTCTGAATTACTTGTATTTTTTATTACCCTGAACATGTCTTCTGTGCTAACAACTTCAAAGTTGTAACAATGATTTCTAATAAAAGGAAGAAACAAGTTGATTAAAGCACAAGACTGATTAAGATGGTAATGCTACTAATTCAGAAGGCACATAAGAAAGTATTCAGTGGTCCTTAATTGTCTACTTGACAATTTGTAAATAAACTAACCTCTACCTCCTTTCTCTGCAATTACCGTGTGACCTTGGGCAAATCTACTGTTCTCTGTCTGAGTTACAACTGTGAAAACCAGGAAACTTTCTCAGAAAGCCTTGAAATCACGAGAAGCAGTGAAGCAGCTGGTGTACAGACATCTTAACAATACACATTACAATTCACCTTCAATACAGTGTCAAGCGGGTTTCCAGAGTCAGGTCTGATGATTAGCGGCGCCTCTGTACTTCTCGATACTATTAAATGTCTTAGGTCTTCACCCCATATTTTCTCGCAAGCGTTATAAATGTCGTAGCTATCACTGACCACAGACACAGGCACTGATGAGAACTGTGTTACTATGTGTTCAAAAGCATCTTTTTCATGGTCTTTCCCCCAGGCTGTTATGGTACTAGAAAACAAAGCAAAAGTATAGATTTACTCAGGCAGACGTGTGACCAATTCAGAAGTGTCATTAACTCCACCTTCACCACACCATGTTGTCAGTGCCACAGAGAAAGGATCCAGATTAGTAAGTGCACATCAGAAGGCTTATGAAATGTCTGGACCAAGCTACTCCTTGGCCATTTTGTTTTTAACACTATGAGTTAACTATTATAAACCCAATTATAAACCTTTTTATTTTATTTTCGCTTTAGTGTCCTTCAACCTAATCATCACACTGATGGCTCTTTTTACAAAGCAGTAGCTATGCTACCATGTCTCCGCTTCATGCATTCGATGGGGAAAAACACAGATGAAGAGATGCCCACAGTCACTCTGCTCCTGTCCTCCCTAAGTCAGAGAACTGAGCTTGGTAATCACCAACCCTACAGTTAGACGTTATCATCTATGTAGCTCCTATTGACTAAGTCTGTGTCAACAGTCCCAAGCCTGCTAGTTGTGTATCCGGGTCTATTCCCACTGTCAATTTCAGTCATCAAGGTGAGTTTTAGTTCTTTCTTGGTTGCTCACCTTTCCTGATACATGTTCTCTTTCGCCTGACTGAGATGTCACTTTCCACCTTTCAATGTTCTGGAATTTCTTCATTTCCCTGCTGCCAGTCTCCCTTGGACACTGTTTTTTTCCTCTTCCATCTAACTTGGAGGGGAAAGTCTACATAACTCCATTATTTTTATTTTCAGACTTTTTAATTATCTAAGAAAATATTTATAATAGCAGTAATGCTTTAGAGCTAGTGTATATATTAGCATTTATTCTAAATGACCTGCTGTATAACTGTAGCTTCTCCTTTCGTGTGGCTGGATAAGAGCAACAGAAGGAAATAAGAGAACAATGCATAAGCCCAAGGCCACCCACTATGTCAGTTGTTAAGTCAAGCAGGCTTTAGTCAAATACAGAAAGTATTACTTGATCATAAAACAAACCAGCCGTCCACCCCATGCATGGGTACAGGGTTCTTTCCATCTAACAAAAGAGCCCTAAGTAAGAGATGTTCCTTATTTATAGACTCATGGTACATTCATGTATTGATTATTTCAAAACTTACTTGGCTGACAGCCCATTGTGTGATTACATTAATTTTTTTTAAAGATATGGATATAGACAAAAACTCAAATAACTTCCATCAGTTAGCACCCATAATTTTCTGTTTCTTAATCTTGAGGCCTTGTCATACAGCAATGTCCTCAACTGCATCTATTCTCCTGAATCACAATGCAATAACCTATCTGATCTCATGTTTGTCAAACTTCTCTCTATTCATTTAGTCACATAGCTCTGGACCTTACCCCTCTCAAGAATACTGTTTCCTATACGACTTCCTAGAAAACCTAGCTTCTAGTTTTCTATTTTCCTGCCATCAAAATAACCTAAAATCTATTTCCATTTGCTCAAAACTTCCAGACCCGGTTCTTTTTGAAAATGCCCAATTAACAGTAAGCTAGAGCTGAATATATAACCATAGCATTGGGGAAATGGAGGCAGGAAATCAGAAGATCAAGTTATGTAAGTTTGAAGCCAGCTTGGGCTACATGATACATGAGACTGTTAAAAAACAAAGAAGCAAGTCAGCATGATGCACATATATTAACACTCAACATTAAAATGAACTTGAAGGCTCGTAATAAATTAACCTTTACCCAACTTCTCAATCTACTTTTGACGTTATCTGTTTCAGTCCTTATTCCCCCAAAGCATGCATACATACACTCTATTATAATGCTTAACCAAATTTTATTATTCCCTTAAGAAGTTAAGACTTCACATGTTGTCTCTACAAAAGCTTTTTTGATCCTGTCAATGGACATGAACCTTCCTTAACTGTGTGAGACTACTGTGAACACCTTAACTGTGCCTCTTTAAATAAGTTCTTGGCAGAGCAGGCTGTTTACTAGTGATGGCTTTCATCTCCAGAGGGTGAGCTCTGTATCCTTCTGGCCCTCGTAGCACCTAGCAGACTGCTTTGACACCAAAGGTGGTGACTTAATGTGCATCAGTGTGACAAAGCTCAGAACAGAAATTAAACATTCCTGAATGACTACAGTAAATAAGGCTGAGAAAAAGGGTTTCATTTATGCTTACTACATATGCTGCTGACTTTCTTTTTTTCTTTTTTCTTTTTTTTGAGACAAGGTTTCTCTGTGTAGCCTTGGCTGTCCTGGAAATTGCTCTATAGACCAGTCTGTGTAGCCTTGGCTGTCCTGGAACTTGCTCTATAGACCAGGCTGGCCTCGAACTTACATATCCAACTGCCTCTGCCTTCCAAGTGCTGAGATTAAAGGTGTGTGCCACTACTGCCAGGCTACCCTGCTTACTTTCAATAAAGGGAACTCTAGAATCAGACTGGCTGCAACATGGATTGTAATTTTCTAGTATACTTTGAGATGATTTAGTAAGAGAATCAGAACACCCTGGTTTTATTTCCTCCTGTAAAAATGGCTTATTTATCTAGAATTGAAGACCCTGGGTCCAGATGACAATTTCCTGGGCAAGAGAAGGGAAGACCACACAGGAAACAGGGAAGAGTATTTAGTGTTTCCAGACTTTACTGATGAAAAAAATCTATCAGCATATACAATGCAGCAAATGACAAGCCATCCCTTAAAATCAATATGGTAATTGTTAAGTGTTGGGAAAAGCTTGATTCTTTTACTAGAGTGGTTTAAAATCCTAGCTCTGCCTGATGCTAACCTTTATAAAAAGTGATTACTCAATTTGTACTATTTTACCATGAAAGTTTATTTAGCACCTGGCTCTGGTGTCAAGTAAGGCGTGGCTGAGTTACACATAGCAAATTCAAACCAAGTTTTAGAAAGTAATTTTGTTTGTTTGTAGGGCCAGATCTAGGACCAGGGGCCTTGTGTATACAAGGCAAGTGCTCAAATCTTTAGCACGAGAACAAACTCAATCTTACCTGTGCTCTGCCGCTGGGACAGAATAGCCTGGAACAGGATCTTTTGTTCCGTAGTATTTTTTGATTAGAGCAATTCCCGCCACTGTATCTGTTCCTTTGAAGTTAACCAAATGAGCGGATGCTCCTATGCCAGCAGTCTAGAAGACCAACCACAAACCAAAATTCAAAACAGGAGCTAAGACACTTGCCTCATCCCATTTTTCTTGGTAGCCCTGGCTGTACTAGAACTCACTCTGTAGACCAGGTTGGCCTCAAACTCAGAGATCCACCTGCCTCTGCCTCACCAGTGCTGGGTTTAAAGGTGTGTGTGTGTTACCACTACCTGGCCCACTGCAATTTTTTTTTTACCCCATACTTGTGCCACTGTTTGCTGCACCTGTCTGTCCCCTCCACCTAATGTGTTTAGATGTATATACTCCACGTACTGAGAGCAGCATGACACACAGTAGATATTTAGTTATCTGTTGACTAAGCCCTCAAAGTTGCAAGAAAAGGCCTACGTACAGCCAGCTTCACCTCAGGGACATTCTGAGAAGCTGACAGTGGCCTCTCACTGACGTGGTTTGGATGAGAATGGTCCCTATAGGCTCAGATATATGAACACCTGGTTCTGTTGGTGGTGCTGTTGGGGGAGGTCTAGAAGGGTCACCCTTGCTAGAGAAAGCACGTAGTTGAAAGCCTACGACACTTGCAACTTTCTCAGTCTGCTTCAGGCTTGCATCTGAAAAAGTGAGCTCTAGGCTTCCTGCTCCTGCTGTTGCATCTCATAAACTTCCTTCCATCTGTGGCTTTGGTAATGATGTCTTCTCACAGTAACAGAAGTAGCTAGTACACCCACTGACAATCCACACTGTATGCCATGAGAGTCCTCCTGGTCCCTTACCTCTTGTGAAGAGACTCCTCTGTAACCAAAATCATGTAACTTGTACTCCAGACCATCTAAATTACCAGAGGTCTCTAACAAGTATCTGGCCAGTATTTTCTTCTGCTCTCTTGAGTTTGTGGCCACTGTAATTGGATACCAGGACTGAACAAGAATAGTCTGCAATGACAGAATTAATCACATTATTGGTATAAAACATTGGGTTCCTCCTGGGGAAATCATGGCTTACTTCTGAACTTAGAAAGCAGTCAGCCCACAGGAAAAGGATGCTCACTGCACATGCAGCCCCTGCTCAGCAGTGTAAGCAGCTGAAAGAAGAAAGCACTCGCAGACTCAAACAGACAACTCCAAACACAAGTTTTGATTCAAATTCCAATCCGCCATGGACAGGCAGTTTAATACTTGGTGCTGAGGCAACGTCATATTGTCCTAAGTTATTCATCACTTATTTTTGATTCCTTTACTGTGGAGGGTGGCACCAAAGTCCGAAGAATCAGCTCTAACTTACAGACTCTAAGAAATACCTATTCAAAGCACTTGTATCTTTAGTATTTTAGACTGATTGGGTTTTGAGGTTCTAGCAGTGCTATGATATCAGAGACCCAGGCTTTACATTCTTAGTTTTTATAAAGTCTGTTACAAGAAAGCTATATGAAATGTTTAATGTGAAGAATTGTTAGAACTACTGGGTTCTAAGAGCTATTCTTCACTTTCCCTTTTTTCTTGGCTCCTAGGAAACTCCAAATTTAAGCTGATGATTAACCACTGGGATCACACAAGTTATTTTGGGAATTTACTACTTCATTTGAGAATGGTAAATTTCCATTTTTGCTTTCTAAGCCTGATAGTGTATTATCAGAAGCACCTCCCAATCTACTTAGGAAAAAAAACTAAGATGTCATTACTTAAATGGTAATGCTATCTGAGCTGGACTGTAAAGAGTTCATTTCTGATATACATTTTTTAAACTTTTTTTTTTTTTTTTTAAGACTTACTCTTTCTGCATGTACACCTGCAGCCCAGAAGAGGGCACCAGATCTCATTATAGATGACTTGTGAGTCATCATGTGGTTGCTGGGAACTGAACTTAGGATCTCTGGAAGGGAAAGTCAGTGCTTTTAACTCTGAGCCATTTTCTCCAGTCCCCTGATTATAAGGCAAAATTTTGTAAACTTACTAAGCATAAGCTAAGTGCTCAGTAAATGAAACCAATGGAAAGAGATTATTTAGAAACAACAATTAGCTCATCTAAAAAACAAACTACTATGGCTTTAAATTCCTGCAGCTGAATCAATACAGCCCTCCAAACCCCTCTCATCTGAAGCTCTAATCCTCATCCCTTGACCCTGGGCTGTCCTGTAATTAACTGTGTCTCTGTCTCTCAGATTATGTGACTTCCATGCCCAGTTTCAAGGTCACAAAGTTTCTACATTAGTTTACTTAGAGCTCCTGTGTGGTAAAGCACCCTTGATTTATAAGAGGCAGCAGTCCCAGCTAATGGAGTGCAGGCCCCAGTCCTGGATGTGAGGTCATGGGAGGCTGTCCAGTTTAGCTGAATGCAGAAGTTTAGATCCAAGCAGGACCTATTGAGGAACATCTGGGGAAATCACACAACCACAGGGAACAGTAGCTGTGTGAAGCCATTGTCTGGGAATAGTTGTTGACAACAAAGCTGATGCAACTCTCATCTCTGACACATCTCTTAAAATCCTCTTCTGACCCAACTGCCAATCATGAGCCTCCCAACTCCACACGTAAGCCTGTGACCTGCACTTTGTACTGTTGCTACACATCATTCCAATGTGAGCTTTAGACAGGTTCTATCATTCTTTATAAACTAATTAGTTACTTTCAATTAAGACAAGGTCCAAGTTTCCCCATCTTGGAAATGGCATTTTATCAGTATAATCTGGTAAAAACCATCTTTTAGTACCAGAAAGGTTTCATTCTGTTTCTGGTCAGAAGGGAGTGTCTGGCCTAATGTGCTTGGTCCTCAGCCCTCTTGTATGCCTGAGACCCTTTGCAGAGCTCCTAGGGGTTGGGGAATACTTGTTTAACTATGCAAAGATGTGTTGCTATTTTACCTTGCCTGCCTAAGACACCTGATTGGTTTAATAAAAAGCTGAATGATCAACAGCCCTGTGCTCTGGGTTCCATCTCAGGTACTGCCAAAACCAAATCCCCCAAACCCTTCTCCTACTATTGTGTTTTTATATTATTATCCTTTCAAAATCAAAATCCACCAATACAAAACTAAGATTTGTTGTCATTTATTTTGAGTTCACAGATAACTCAAAGTTTTACTATATAGAACAGACGGATTAAACATTTTAGCTGACTGTATCATTTCTTTTAGGCCTGCTATTAGTTGATGGCACATCAAAAGTCTAATAGCATTTGAAATTCTCTGTCACCCTAGTAAAATGTATTTCAAACATATACTTGGGTCTTATTTTTACAAAATTGTATTTTATGCAGTGTAACAACAAATTACTTTCATCAACATTGAGATTTTGATGTTAATGATATAAAATGCACTCAGCGACACACTGTTCCATAGTTGTTTGTAGGTCATTTCCTCCACAGATGAATTGCATAGTAGTCCACCAAGAAGCTAGAGATTATCATCATCAAAACAGTGATCGTGACAATGTGGAACCACTTAAGATATATGTAAGGAAACCCAAAATACCTACTACATATATGCCCTTCTTTTAGATTTAGAAATTAAACAGTGGGAAAACAGAACATCTGCATTTAGATTAGAAGCTGAAAAATTCACTGAAAAATCAGTGAATGCACTGATTCTAACTGGAGAAGTCTGTATTTGTTAAAAATGAACTTGGGCTACGTTTCTAATTTTTTTCTCTAAGCTCCTAAAAACGGAGAATTCCAATGGATTAGTTGGCTTGGTATAGCAGCATTTGGGAGGCTAAGGCAATTCAAGGCCTGCCCGAACAACTTAGTGAGACCTTGCCTCAAGGATTTCTTTGAAAAATTCTTATGGAGAGGTACTTTAGTGGGAGTTGCCCACTAAATTAGTAGAGAGTTGCCTAGTGTGCACTGAGACCTGGATTCTAGTCCCTGTAGCACCAAAAGAAATGGAAGACAGATATCAACTGAGCTCAAAGTAACAATCACAAGTCATTTGATTAACATAGAATCCCCTAAAAATAACATTTCATTTGAAGGACTTTAAAGTTCATTTAGTCCAATTATCATTCACTGATGAGGAAGCTGATGCAGGGGTAAGTTGTAGATTACACAGCTTTACTAATGGTGGCAAAGTTAGTGGATTCAATGGTCTTTTATCTTCAGTCACCATTAAAACAAGATTCTGAATAAAAGCCAAACCTACTCACCTCAATCCAGTTGGTAAGCCAGTAGCACTCGGGGTCTGTGTTCTCCACCGTGAACAGCACATTCCCTCTGGGAATGACAGAACCCTCAGGAACAGCCTTTACTTCAATCGGAAGATGACCATCATATTTCTGGCAGGAGGGAAAAATATTCATCATTCAACAAGCAATGTGCTGTTGCCTGTTACAGTAAGGTTTTGTTTTTTTTTTTTTTTTACATTTTTTTTGGAAGCTACATTTTTACTACTTCAGGAAGTATAGATGTTGTTAAATTGTTAGCAATAATCTAGTTAATCAAGAGTATCTTGTAGCTTCTGAATCAGTTAAAATGACTAAAAACTTAGGCACCAATCCAGCTCTCAAGTTCATGCTGTTTCTGCTAAGAACATCTACCACTCATGATCAACACTGATCAAAACAGCATTTCCCCGACTTGTTCAGAAAACAGAGAAATTTTCTATTCTAATAATATTCTAATAATATCCTACAAACAATTTGGTCTACACAGGTAATTTTCAAACATATATATATATATATATATATGGAAAGATTAAAAACTAATGTGAAAGAACACATAAAGAAAAGGAAATCACTCTAGAAGACTTTTATGTAAGTTTTATCTTTTTTCTGGCAAGTATACTTTTAAACCACGAAGACCCTGACATTCAATGTCTAAGTCTAAGCCACTGCCCTGATAACCTCATGTGTTTGACTACTTGGCTCCCAGATGCTGGAACTATTTGGGAAGGACTAGGAGGTGTGGCCTTTTAGGTGGAGATGTGTCACTAGGGGTGGGCTTTTTGTCTGTTTTATGGAGAACAATGTAAGCTCTTAGCCACTGTTCCATTGGCTCTCTGCTATGATGGTCATAGATCCAACTTCTGAAACTGTAGGACCCAACAAACTCTTCTCTACATTGCCATAGTCACGTGTCTTAGCACAGTAATAGAAAAGCAGCTAGGCCAGCACCCCATTCTCCATAGACAGTTAACCCTTGTCTAGAAGGCAAGTTGCTGTGGAAATCCTGAGTTGATGTGATTCAGGATGCAGCATCTAAACGAGAGAAAACAACCACGATGGGTTTGATATGCTGCACAGCATATTCCAATATTAGTGTAGTAACGCAGAAACCACTAGTCGTCTTTTGCCCTTATAATTCAATTCCCAGTAATTTGGATGACCAGGACATTATAGTAAAATGAAAAGCAAGCTTCAACTTCAAAGAACTACAACAAACTATTACGGCTATTTGCTGAAAGTTCACAGAATTATTATGTTATAATAAACTCATATCACTTGAGTAAGTTAGAAATAACTTTTGAAATTGCCAAATAACCACACTCTTAAAATTATTAGTGTATCTCCATTTTCTAAGGTATAGTTTCCAAAATGTAATAAATTGTCTTTCAGAAAATGAGTTATTTAAATTGTAAGTCACTTATTTAGCATATTACTTAGGTCTACTATAAACTATCTGTTAATGATTCATACTACAGAGAAAAACCAAATGTTACCTAGTTTTTATAAGAAGAATATCTAAAACTAGCCGTTATATTCAGATCATCACAAAAAGCTTTAGTTATAGTTCAATTTTCTACTCTAATTCCATGGCAAGAAATTTTGAATTAAACAAAAACCAAAACAGATTAAAAAGTGACAGCCATTTTCACCTCAAGAATGTAGTTCCATCCCTTCTCATTAAAGACATCATCTTGGAAATGTTCTCTGTACACTTCTTTGGCCTCCTGGATTTTCTCTTTGGTCACTACTTTACCTGGAAGGACACACAGGTCTTGTTTACATCCTTTGAATTGCTGAGTCACCACAGCAATGTCTTCAGCTCTCTCACCCCCTTTATGATCACAAGGTACAGAGAGGATGAAGGAGAGTCACCAGGTCAAGAGCAGATTCAGAAGAGAAGCCTGTTCATCCACAAGTTCACCCAACATCAATGTTCACTATTCTAAAAGCTGGGAGTAGCCCAACACAGCAGCTCAGGAAGTCAAAGCAGGAGGGCCAGGAGTTCTGAAGCCAGCCTGCATTATACGGCCAGACCCTGTTCTGAAGCACTACAACAAGCAAGCAGGTAGAGATGAGACAGGCGTTTGCATAGCATTAAAACAAACAAAACCTAACTACCTACAGTGCTTTTAGATTTTCTTTAAGATAACCAATAGCTTATTTTCCAGGTGAACTTTCTTCAGAGGTGTATCTGGGACTAGACAATCAATAATTTTCACAATTATTAATTTTAGTTACCTTTTCTTATTTGTACAATCAGGATAAGGGTACAGTACCTACTTACAGGATGATACACAGCTATTTAGAAAACAATGGCCTACAGCACTTTTGTAAACTACTGATAAGGGTATATAATTGAATGCTAGTGGGGTGGTTTTATAAACATTTGGCAACAGTAAAAACTTCTGAATGTACAAGAGCCACAAGTTAATTCAAAACCAAGCATGTAATGCATTCAAAGTTTTTTTGGCAATGTTCACCTGTGTTGTTGGAGCATGCAACTTCATCCAGTTGGGTCTGAGCACAAACTTGTACACTTTGTACTGTACATGTGGTCACACCATGCAAAGCCAACAAATGCTGCCTAAAATATATATATGTGTGTGTACATAGATATACACAACAAAATTCCCTGCTCTGACAGAAACACAATTTTAATTATAGAAAACAGACTTTTAGTGTTTTCCCTGTTGCTCCTAAGTGTGAAGTTCGAGCTAGTATATGTTTGTATTGTATTGTGTTAACAATGCTTGATTTAAAAATTCCTATTTAAGTTTCATTAAAAAAAATATTGTTTTATGCATTTTAGCTTGGGTTTAGGACAGAATTCCCATCAATTATGAAATGGCCTTAACACCCTTCTGCCATTTGTACTAAACATACACATTTATATGAAGTGGCAGTCTCAGCATTATAAAAATAAGCACATGTACATTACTATGTTTAGTTCTTAATAAAAGGTAACATTAGGTACATTAGGAAGTTATTTTTTTTAAAATCAGTACATGTTTGCTTGTATATCTACTAACTGTGTAAAAACTCCTCAGGTTAAGAAAGAATTGCCAATGGCAAAAGTTTAAGAATCCCTAGTCTAAAATAAAATAGGCAATCAATGCAACACACACACACACTGTAACAACTTACATATAGTAACTTATAAATTTACAATTTATCTTTAAAAATCAATGTTAATTAGTATATGTATTAAAAATACCCTGTGCATTCTCTTTGCATCCAGCAGGACCTTTACATATAACTGTGTTTTCAGTAGTGTAGCCTGTCTGACCTATCTGACCTTAAAACAGCTATTATAAAAACAAAATTATTTTTGTTTCAAAAATTTCCAGATGTGCAATGTCTCTTGAACTGATTCCCTGCCTAGAAACTCCATTACAAAATACACTATAAATGGCCTCAACAAATATCTAACCCATTTCTGAAAATTACTGGTGGATTTTTCTGTTTTAAAATGAATTTTAGAACTAAACCCACTCCTGTAAACAGTTCTAAAAAGAAAAACTTTAATGTGTATCTAAAGTAATATAAAATTATTCTAGTTAAATCTACTATAATTCAAACTGAGTTTCTGGGTCAATAATCAATCTGAATAAGCAGCTTTGAGTGAAGGCTAACTGTATCAGAAGACAAGAATAGTCTCTGAATGTTACTGACTGCTCTAAGCTTTCTCAGCAATGTCAGAAAACCTTTCTCCAATTTAAAACATCTAACACAGACACCGAATTCTAAGATTTAATGCATTCAAATGAACAGACTGTCATTTTTGTGAAAGAAGGCAGGCACGGTGGCAGTTCAACTACTCTTAACACTGGGGAGGGCAAGGCAGAAGACTTTGATGAATTTGAGGACAGCCTGAGCAACTCACCAAGATTAAGGCCAGCCTAGGCTACAAAGTAAAGTCTTGTCTCAAATAAAACAAAAAAACTTTCCAAAACAACTCCTAAAGTGGGGATCAAATATAATTAAATATCAAAAATCAGATTACTCAAACAGTTACTTCAAATAGCAGAACATAATAGAGAGAAACATGAAGTCACATAAAGCAGGGTTTTAAATGTACTGGGAAAAGCAATACCTTTTAAGTACTTATTAAGAATGTACTGCAACCCATAAAATACTGTTTCCTCGTATTTCACCTTCCTTACTTTGGAGTTTTCAGTCTTCTTTTCACGGCATTCAAAGTAGGAATAAACTTTGCTTGTGTTGGGTGGGTACTGTTTATAGTGAGTAACCTATACAAAAAAAGACACCTTCATTAGGAAACACCCAGAGTACAATAGGCTAGTCTTCAAATGACTTCCAAATTGGTCTGTTTCTTACTTCTTGTTGACCAACTTTCCCATCCTGGTTTCACAGAGCAAGAGACATGTGCCACTAGGATCCTGCTAATAATTCCTTATTTTACCATTAAAACAAAGTGACTGAAGAGATTACACTTAAGTGGGTTCAGTCTGAGGTATACAGCCATAGCAAACAAGCCAAGGCAGCTGGTTCAGATGGGTTGTGCACTTACTGGTTTTCAGTGAAATGTTTGAGGCTGGAGGTACTTCAGACTTGGGGTTTCAGGATACCTGACTGTACTTGTATTCTGGGGATATGACCTGTTTACATGAGGGAAATATTATCATCTTTTTGTATGTATGTTTGTGTGGTATGTGTGCATGTGCATTCACGTGTATGGATGTCAAAGGTTGATTCTGGGTCTTCCTCAGTCGCTCTCCCTTTTATTTGAGACAGGATCTCTCATCAATTTGGCTAGATTAGCTGGTGGGCAAGCCCAGGGGTCCCCTGCCTCTACTTTCCTAGCACTGGCATTGAAATCACATGCCAACATGGCTGCTTTTTATGTCAGGTGCTACAGATCAAACTTAGGCCCTTGGGCTTGAGCAGAGAGCATTTCACCGACTGGGCCATCTTCCTGGCCTCCATATTGTGACTGTGACTGGTTTTATGAGGTCAGGCTTGGAATGCTGCTCATGATATCCACACTCGAGAAGTTTCCGGTTTTAGATCATGAATGCTCAAGCTATACCACAGTTATCTAATGTGTGTGGTGATAGTCCCCTGCTTTGTGCAGTTATGAGGCACTGAGGCTGTCTTTTGACTGCCATGTGTTCTATAGAAATGTGGATGAAAGTAGCAGCAGCGGTAGCAAACCTTTGGAGTACTGGAAAGCAATAGAAAGCCTGTTTTAGGTGATTGCTGCTAATAAACCCAGAGACCTGAGATGGATTCCCTGGGACACATGTGGTAGGCAAGAACAGATTCCTCCATGCTATCCTCTGACCTCCACATGAGCTCCATGCACAGGTGTCCCATCCCTACACACATAAACATAAAATGTAGTAGAACATTTAAAAACATAAACAGAGCCTCCCATTTTGTTACTTCTCAAATCGCTTCCTAATTGAATAGTAAGTTCCTACTGGGTCTAACTTAGGACTTTAAAAGCATAAAAGCCTTTCATAGCAGTTTCTATGGTATGGATTTGCTACTGGCAAAGATTTATCAGCTCCCATTTGAAGAAAGTTTGGTATCCACTGGACTTTAATTTTACTTTGGTGCTTTTGTCAAGTAAGGCAATTGTATAAATGAGGCATTGATTTGTAAGTCTAGAAGTAAATGACAGGAGGAATGTGTGTCTGCCCAGTGGTGAGAACAGAAAAAGTAACCTTACAATTTCAGGAACAGGGTAAAGGACAGCCACGGTGGGCCGAGTGTCACAGGTGACCACCATCCATACTATGTTTCCTGTTACGCTATGATTGCAAGTTTAGGAAAGCCAGTGTTTCTTCAGCTGTACAACCTCAATCTCCGTGAAGCTTGGCTCTATGTACAGAATCTGTCTCTTAACATTAGCACTCTAAAATAAAGGTATTTCCACTGCCATTTCTGAATGACCATCCCCCGTGCTTCCTTCTTATGAGCCATGCTTGGGGACCCCCTTCTGCTGCATATAGGCAAATCTCTAGAGTAACATGGACTTGAGGGTCTGGGTCCTGCAGGGGCACTGCAGCTCCTGTGAGAGACAGAAGAAAAAAAACAAAAACCTAAAAAACAAAACCGACCACCTCCCACCCCCCAAAGAAGCCTATAATAAAAGGCACAAGGAATCCTGAGACTCTTTGCACTTCAGAGGTTGGAACCCATGGACTGATATCATTGTCAGTTTAAGAAAAGCTACGAAAAACTAAGTGAGAAAGCTAATGCAGAACCCACTGTAATTAAACCTATAAATCTACCACAATGCAAAACGAAACAAAAAAGCAAGCAAACAAACAAACAAACAAACACAACCAAGTTAGGTATATTTATAAATGATATTTCAGTAAGTTAAGCTTGCTAGGAAAAAGAAAAGATAGCCTGCACTTAAAATATACCCAAGATGAATATAAAAGTGTCTGACTTACAACATAGCGACTCCCAATTCTTCTACAGGAAGCTAGGTATTGATGTATTTACAGGTCTAGCTGACACAGTCCAAGTTTTATAAACAGGTTCCTCATTGTATCTCACAGCATCCACCCTGACCTGAGTCAGCTTTAACCTTTACATTCACATACCTAACAAGGTATCTTCTACCTGAATTTACAAGTTTGTATCAGGATAGGTCAAAGGATAAATGATTGCTGCATAAGCATAATATTAAGATCCCTAAAACCCATGTAAATGCAGGCAGTTATGGTGGCTCAAGTGCAAGCTCTGCATTGGGAGGTGAAGACAGAGTCCACGGAACAAACTAGCTAGCTACACTAGCCAAACTGTTGCGCTCTTGATTCAAGAGCGATTCCCACCTGAATGTACTATTCTGGTGAATAATCGAGGAAGATAAAAGACATTAATCTCCGACCTATATACAATGTCTATACGAACTCAATAGCCCAGAAGCATGCAAATATTCATATACATAACACAAACATATAAATATACCACAAGGCACATTAATTACTTTTCTGAGAAGTTCAAAGAGTCAAAAGTTGAATGGAAATATCCCTAACTCATTTAACTTCACCAGGGCCTAAAAGCATAACAAATTTTTTCTATCATACAGTTATACTTCTGTAAAATGATATAGCTTTAAAAATTTAAAGCTCTTAATTTTAAAAAGACTTACATGTGTATAGATTTTTGCCTACATGCATGTGTGTGTACCACATTCATACAGTGCCTGAGGAGGACAGATGAGGGCTGGCATCACCTCCCCTGGGACTGGAGTCGCCATGTGGATGCTGGGACCATTTCAAGAGCTGCCAGTGCTCTTTACAGCTCAGCCATCTCTTTACCCACAAGCATTCACTTTTTTTTTTTTTTAAAGCTTTTGTTTAGGATACATTTTTTTTAACAGTGCTTTAAAACCCACATTTGCCTAAGTATTCAGAATGTTTCCCATGTTATTATTCTGAGAATACAGTCAATAGACATTATTCCTAGCTGACCCTTCATTACAAAATGGAATATGACATAATTCCAGGTAGTTTATTCACTAACATGCAACCTGTTTGTTCCATGTGTCAGGCTGTTTCAGATGCCCAGGGAAGTAAAACAGGCTGATGTGGTCCCACTTCTTACAGGGCCAATGAGAAGGGCAAGAGAAAAATACTCAAAAGTAATTTCAAAATAAGATGGACATTATGAAAAATTAGAACAAGACAGAGGGGAACTGGGGAGATTTCTCTGGGTGGTGACATGTGAACATGTGACATGAAAAGACAGGAAACTCTTTGGCATAAGGAACAGTACAGGGAAATGGCCAATACAGTTGGTCCTTCGAACTGGGAAGATTGGAATAGAAACAGGTAAGATCATACATAGGCATAGGTGCTGAGAGGGTCTCACTGTGTGTTAAGTACAATGGAAGCCATTATGCTTTTTAAGTTGGGGTAAATATAACCTGATTTACTGTTTTTTTTTTTTTTTTTTTTTTTAAGCTGGGGACTGAATATGGGCTCTTACATATAAGTACATGTTCTAACACTGAGCTACAACCCCTAGGCCCCTCCTCATAATCTCAGTTTGAAGTGTGTGACACACTTCAATAATATAAAACAATCGATGAGGGATAAGGGAAACATGCACTACAGGGCCAGGAATTAAGAAGTGATTGCACACAACTAAGTCGGATGAGAAGACAGGCACCTACCTGGTATTACTGGGGGTAAAAGAGAGTTAGAATTGGATGTGGAGTAATGAGATATTACAGATACCTCCTAGAGTCTGGCTTGAGCACTCTGGGTTATCAATGATCCCATTTAAGCCAGGAAAAGTGAGGGGCACACACCTGTGATCCTAGCACTCAGGTAAGGTAAGAAGACTGTAGGCCAGCCTGGGCTACCTAGAGAACACCAGGCTAACCACAGGTACACAGTCCTATCTGTCTCAGTTGTTCCACTTATTGAATTGATGAAGAGTGGGAGAATCAAGAGGTCAATGTTCAAAGATTCTAGCTCCATGCTTTAACAAGGGCGAGCTTTCTCCAATGTGGAGAGTTAGCCCAAAACTGCATCAATACATTCCATTCTCAAGGGTTTACCCTTGTCCTCCTGTAAACAGCAGGGCTGGGAATGGAGGCGTATTTAAGGTAAGCAGAATCCTCCTGGGGTAATTAGGTATAATTTTCTGTGGCGATATATTGCTTATGATTTATAAAAGCCATTGGAGATCAAATTAGCAAAGCAGCCCATACTAGTAGCCATACAGCCTCAGGATCGCCCCTTTGCTCTGAGCATAGGTAGAGGTAATAACTAGTGACTTGGCTGTTTTGCTTTTCTGATCTTCAGCTTGACGCTTGAACCCCATTATCTGTCTCTGGGTCTTTCATTTATTGTGCTACAATTTTCTCTAGATTTGGACGGCCTGATGGCTTCTCAAGAACTTTCTTCCCAAACTGGCATACTATCACCAAAGGCAACTAGCACTTGCCTACTTTTTCAGTTACACTTTTATTTTTAACTGGTATTAAATAATTAAGAACCAAGATTTAAAACACAGTGGGTCATCATCCAAGGGCATAGATAAGTTACATTATCTATGTGATATCTACAGCCCAAGCAAAGGATCTACCAGCCCTATTGTGGCTGACTTCTACCTCACTACTGCAAACATTTTAACTGGTTCTTCTGCTTTTTTCAGGAGTTTTTAAGGTGTGTGAAGCTCTGGGAATTTGCTACCACAGAAAATAACTTGTTGCAACTTAGCTCTGAAGCATAAGCTACTTCATAAATAATTGCAGGAGTTGGTTCTCTTTCTATCATGTGGACCCCGAGTTAGTGCAAGCCATCAAGGCTTGGTAACAAGCATCTTTCTTTACCTGATTTTCCCAGCCCTGGTATTTTATTTCTATTGCCCAACTTCCCCCCAAATTTATAAAACTTACTTTGAAAACATATATACATAGATACATAGACAGTTACCCTTTTTTTTTTTTTTTTTTGAGACAAGGTCTCATGTAGCTCAGACTGGCCCAGATTCACTATGTAACCAAGGATGCCTCCCATCTCTACTTTCTCAGTGCTAAGATTACAAAGGTACATCACTACGATTGACACATAATATCGTTAAGGATACACCAGGAAAAAAAAAAAAAAAAAAAAAAAAAAAAAAAAAAAGCAGAACCCCTTCCACATTGGCAAGCTCTGGAGCCACTGGTCCAGGTGGTTCCTAATCCTTTATGCTTTCTTGGAAGCACTTGAGAGGCAACTATAAGAAATGGGAGCCAGTGAGAGGAAAACACTGTAAAGTTATAAACTAACTTGGTCATGTTATTCTCATCTCTCTAAATCTCTTCTGCAACAATGCCCAAGTTCCTATGTTCCTTAGCCATTGAAGAATACAAAGCTGACTGCGTCATTGATACAAGCAGCTCTTTGAAGTGTCCCTGAACCCAATCTTTCTCTACCCTGGATGGTAAGAGACTGTTGTTCCCCACTGTGTTCTTCCCCTATGGACTAATGCATGACTGAAACAGTTCTGTACACACTTCAGTGATGTGATGAGACCTGAACACTGCCAGAGGACTACTTTTGTGTGTCCTGTCTTTTCCAGCTAGAGCACAATGACAGCACAAATTAGAGTGTCTTCTGCTAATCTGCTCCAGATAAAATGTTGAAAAATGTTAAAACTGTTCTCTGCAGTAGGCCCTTACAAACAAAATGTACACAGTTTTGTGGAATTTCTGTGTGGGACAGAAGAAAAGCATCTTGTACTGCTTCACGGCTATCTGAAATCTGACCATCCTAGAGGTAAGCTAAAATAGAAAAACCATGTCTCCTTTACAGGAAAGCCCCAAACGCAACCCATGATAGATCTGCTCACATCCATCTTCCAAAGCTGGGTTACTATCGCTAAAGCTGGGTGGGAGATTGTGCCTTAAGCTATTCTAACTAACAATGATTAAAGATGTCAGAGTAGGCCTTTTTATTTGGAAAAAGAACTCACAATTGACTGGAGGGCTGTATCTGCCTATGTTCTCAGCTCCTTATTACACACAATGAAATATGAGACCACAGAAATGGCAGTGAATTTCAAATGCTCTTCCACTGGCCCCAAGTCCTGCCCTTTCTTAAGGACACCCTGAAAATGTAACCCACATGTTGCCATAGCCTTGGCTACCTCCTTATCTACTTTGTGTAGTTTAGGAAATGATTTTTCCCTCAGTTTTAGAAGACATCTCTTCATCAACATCTAGCCACTCTCTTCTAAACAGCCGAGATTTTTTTAAAGAACTGACAAGAACATGTAATCATATATAATTTCCAAATAAAAGAATTTCCTTTACTTGTAATCTCAAGCTTCGACAAACCTACCTTTCTTCCTAAGATAAAAAGGCAAAAAAAAAAAAAAAAAAAAAAAGGACAAAATGCCCAATACAAATGGGCAGAAATAAAAATCATATGCAAATTATCATCATGACCATAAGCATAACTTGCTAGGTTAGAAAGCTTTTAGATTATTAAGTAAAAACAGCTCCAAAACACCAGCAAAACCTGCTGCTAAAGCACTTTCATGTTTATATTTAATCTCCCCCCCCCTTTTTTTGAGACACTATTGTACCCCTGGTTGTTCACTATCCACTATGTAAAGCATGCTAGCCTGGAACTCACTCTGGCTTCTGACTGTTGGGATTAAAATACAGATGTGTTCTTCAAAGCCTGGCCCTTTAAAGTTCAGCCATTTCATACATAATAAAAGTAAAATATTTAAAAATTACTTGGTGATACTTACTTAAATTTTACAAAACCACGAATGAGACTTTTCTAAAATCTCTAAGGATGCCTGAAACACCTCAACTGAACTAAATCAAGTAGAGATTTTAGAGTCTTAAGCACCACGATCTTGTAAAGATAAATTCCACCGGAAGCCAGTCACGGTGGTCCATGCCTATCATTCCAGCACTGAGAAGCCAAAAGGCAGGCAGATCTCCTGAGTTCGAGGCCAGCCTGGTCTACAACACAAGTTCCAGGACAGGCAGGGATATACAGATAAACCCTGTCTCAAAAACAAAAAACAAACAACAACAAAAAACAAAATAAAAATCCCATTTGAAAGACCACCTGTTGATAAATCATATATTAAAATGAACTCACCTACTTACAATAGATTACAAAGAAATGTACAAATTAGAATTTAAGCAAAATGGAACTCTCAGCTTACAGGGTTAAAAAGCAAAAGGCAAAGAACCAAAACAAAACCACGGGAGTACTACTCCTAATCACTCAAAACCATCATGATGCTTAAGTAAATACTAAACTTGAAAGCTAAAATTTAATCTGTTCTAGTGAGGTTACTAGTGACATTTTACCCTTAAGAGTCTTGGCTAAACAGAACTTAGCTTAAGATCAGTGCAGATCACATCACATAATCGTGGGGGCATTTCCTCTTTACTTCTCCCTTTGCTAAGGTACATTTCAAGTGGAATTAATGTAAGAGTCCAATCAATAGGCACCTTAAAGCATAGGGCCATTTCCCTCCCCACAAGTTCTCCAGGGTTAACCTCCCGGTCTTTCACTTTCCTTTTCACAGAAATCCAGTGGTGACCCTGAAGAGTCCACTGGCCTCGGCAACCAGAGGCCGGGCGCGTGAATGATCCCTAAGAGTTTGAAATGCAGCCCAGTGGAGTGGAAGGCTAAATCAGACGCGGTTCCCGGACCGGGTTTGTCCTCCACGCTGGGGCCACTGGCTGGGTGCGGGGCACGCCGCCAGGACCTCTCCCCAGGGCAGGGATGTACCTGCCCAGCCTGGGGCTGTTACCTAACCAGCCCGATCGTCGGGCGGTCCCTTCCAGTCCTCCCCGCCGGGGCACCCAGGCCGCCCGCAGCCGCAGCGTGCGCCCATCCCGCCGAGCCTCCGGCCGCGCCCCCGCCGCGGCGCAGGCCCCGCCTCCGGCCCGCGACTCCATCCTCCAGCCACCGCGCTGCGGCTCCTCCACCTGCCCCATCCCGCCGCCCTAGCTCCCGTCTTCCCCCGGCCTCGAGGGAGGCCCACACCGCAGCTCCACCTTGTACGAGTCGGTGGCCAGCAGGATGTTGAACTCAGCTTCTGCCGCAGCATTCATCTCGGGCCGGAGCGGAGATGCCGCGCCACGAGCTGCCCGGCGCGGCTGCGAGCAAGGAGAAAAATGGGCTTCGCTGCGCTCCGTTGCTTAAGTCACCGCTCGCTCGCCGGGGGGCGGGAGAGCCGGGAACGGAGCGCGGGGAGGGGCCGGGAGGGCGGGCAGGTCCGTGACGCGGCGGCGGAGGCTCGCGCGCTCCCCAGCCCAGCGTTCCCGCGGCTTCCCCGGCTGGGCTCCGCGCCCCGCCCACCCCGGGGACGAGGGGGCGGGGCGCGGCTGCGCGTGCGCAACTCAGGGGCGGGGCCGAGGAGGACGTGAGGCACGCGCTCTGCCTCCCCGGCGCCCGCCCCAGGCCTGAGGCCGCGGGTCACCCCAGCGCGTGACCTGGGAGTCCGCCTCGGTTCTGGGGACCCGAGGGGCGTGGTCTGCTGCAGGGGGTGTGGTCCCGGCGCTCCCAACCTCGCCCCTCCTCACGGAGCCTTTGCGTGCCACGCCCCGGACCTTCCTCTTGTCCTACCCAGTCCCGGCTCGTCCTGGGAGTCTTGGAGTCACGCCACCGGGCTGGGGCCAAGGAGCCTCCCACTGTCGTCTCCCGGTTCCCGCACGCGCTGAATTACCTTTGTCTCCAGCCTGGAGGATGGATGGGACCAAAGGTGCCATCCCTCTTGTGGATCGTGGTCCTTTAGCTTACTTTTACAATCCGAGGAGCTGCGTGAAGTCTTGAGTTCCCTTGGTGCTTGGACTCGCTTTCCTCCCGCTTGTCTGTAGCCGAGCTGTTGTCCTTTGAAGGCTATTTGACTTTTCCTGGAAAAAATAGTTTGCGTCTAAAGGGGAAGGTTAAATTCAGCTCTCTCAGACAATGTAGGTAGGGACAAGACCGAATCGAATCTAATATTGTTGAGAAGTAAAAGGCAACCTTAGCCAAGTCTTTGGTAGCTGATGATTTTTTTTTTAATTTTTAAAATCATTAAATCCTGGGGGGGGAAAGCTTGCAACCTCCCCAAATAAGAGTAATGACATCTAATGACGTCATCCAACTTCCATGAAACTATCCTCTTGATCAGTTTTCATGTACATAGTTACAATTCTTTTTTGCAGAAAACTAAAATTCTCTTTGCTGATTTAATAGCATTTAAAAATTCTAAGATTTGGGTGTTTGTTTTTTAATAGAATAAATTAACAAGAGAAAATTAGTGTAACTAAACTGTCATGGGCCATTATAGACTCATTATAGACTGCATCAAGTTAGTCGCTTCCTGGAATCCATTCCTCTCCAACTGACCACTGTTCGAGGATTTGTTTTTTTTTTTCAGAAGAAAAATTAGGATTCTGATTACAAAGTAGGCTTTGTTTGTGGTAGTGTTTTTAAAAGCAAAATTTGTTCTTACAATCTTTGAGTTTTATAAAAACAAATATGCTCAAAATGTAAAAACTCCAACACTGTAAGCATACTGACATTGCTAGTTAAGTACAATAATTAAGTCTACAGAAGTACTTTGGGCCCAACCCCACAGCAGTCTTCAGAGGAAAGGAAAGGATGGCAATGACATTCTTAGTTTTTTTAAAATCTGGTTTTTATTTTTTAAAATAAATTTTATTTAAATTAGAAACAATCTTATTTTACATATAATCCTAGTTCCCTCTTCTTCCCATCCCTCCCATGACCCTACCGTCCTATCCCCCATCCACTCCTCAGGGAGGGTGAGGCCTTCTATGAGGGATCATCAAAATCTGTCAAGTCATTTGGGGACAGCTGGGGAACCAACCTAAGACCAAACCAGGCCCCCTGAAGGGGGGTGTCAGCTAGGAGGACTGGGCAGTCTATGGGGCCTCTGGCAGTGGAACCAGGATGTATCTCTAGTGCATGAACGGACTTCGGGAGCCCATTTCCCATGGAGGGATACTCCCTTAGCCTAGGGTTGTGATCTTAAGTATCCCTCAAAGACTTATATGCCAGTGTTGACTGCCAGCCTCTGAGCAGTACAACTTAAGAGTTGGGGTTTGGTTGGAGGCAGTTCTGTAATTGAGAAGATGGGAGTTATTAGAACTGTCTTTTCCCTTTTATTCTCTTCAAGGTGCACAGTGCCACTACAAGCTCAAAGCAACAGAACTGAAGCTATGAGCCAAAAGAAACCTCTACCTTCAAGATTTCCTCAGGTGTTTTGTGGAAGTGATGAAGGCTGACCAACACAGAAATCATGTTGCCAATAGAAAACCGCGTTGCCAAAGGTGGAATTCAGCATGTTCTTGTGGGGCTGTATGTTTAGACCAGATCAGTTTTGAATTAATTGGGGTTTAGAACTGTGGTATGAAATTGTCACCAAATATAAAACCAAGTTCATTTTGAAATAATATATACTGAAGGACACTTTGAAAAAAGTATTTAGTTAGCACCTTTATTTAGTAGCATAGATTACTGCAGCACAAATAATAAAGACCCAGATTCAAATAGATCCCTTCTGTTAGTATCCAGGCATCTGTAATGACCTATCCTTGGGGTTCTGACAGGATATGCCCTCAGCTGCAGCCACCAAGAGCATATTCACTATGTTCCCTTTAAAAAGGTCCCTGCCTACCTCCTGTCCTTCTCTCTTTCTCTTCCTATCTCTGGAAGTCAGTCTCTCCCCCTCCCTCTCCCTCTTTTATAATTCCTTCCCCTAATTAAAAAAAACAACTCCCCCCTGCTTGAACCCGGAGGCCTGGCATCTTTCTCTTAAGCTCTGCTTTTCTTAAATTACAATACCTTCTGCTTTTGCAAAGCCCCAGGGTCGGTCTACAGATCAGCCAGTCAATCACAGCAGATTGGCCATCTGGTTCTTGCTATGGTCAAAGTGGGTGATGCTGAGTCCCTCCTGTTTTTCAGACAACCTCTGATACACTTTTGTATTTCATCATTGCTTCAGGTATTCCAAACTGATATGATATCACCTCATCAAACAAACAAACGAAGAAGTGGGTGTAGAACTCTTCTATCTCCAAGCCCTGACCATTGCTCTCTTCTTTGTCTCTCCCCTCCAGATTCATCAGCTAGCAACAGTTATCAGAGGCAGATGTAAATAAAAACAGGAGCTTCATAAGTTGAACTTAGACCTTTTCTTACTTAAATTGCTAAGATCCTTGGGTAAAATGTCTTAGATTGAAAAGTTCTGAACTAATTTCTTTGACGGAAGAGGTTTCAAGACAGCCTAACATAACTGTTGCATGGTTACTAGTCATCACTCTTATACAGGTCTATAATGAAAATGAGCAAGTGTAGAAAAAAAAATACAAAATGTAGTTTGAAAGCTAGGGCTTGTGGCCCATGCCCTTAGTCCTAACACACAGGAGGCAGAGGTCAGACTAGTCTACAAAGTGGTTCTAGGACAGCCAGGGCAACACAGAGAAACCTCATTGGGGGTAGGGCATATGGTTTGAGGAGAAAAAGAGCACCAGGAAATTTAATGTTTGAGCCATGATTTATGCTGAAAGAGATCTGGAGACATGGAACAAATGGAGTGGTGCTCCTAGGGGAGACACTCCCCCTCCCCCTTCTGCCCCTCCTAAACTAATCCTGTAAGTGAAAAGGCCTAAGGAATTCTCAAGCTCCAAAGAGCATTAACAAATCAAAGCTTATGCCAATGCAATTCAAGGAGGGGGTCGAGCTTCCATCCCAAACAGGCAGAGGAATTTGGCAGCATTAGCCACATGGTCCTGGCTTTAGACTTGAAGAATATGGGAGTAAAAGTGCGGTGGTGTTTTCCTCTGAGGTTAAGGGAAGCTGCTCAGGCCAGGTGTGTAGACAGGGCCTCTCTGTATAGAGGCCTAAAGAGGCCATTGGCCATTTCCTGAAACTGTGATGCTGAATCCTGGATTATGTTAGAGACCCCATGATGCTAGAGATGCCAGAGTAGTGGGTTGTCTGACAAGCAGAGCTGTAGACAGGGCATGGAAACAGCCCAGAAGTGAGAGAGAGAGAGAGAGAGAGAGAGAGAGAGAGAGAGAGAGAGAGAGAGAGAGAGAGAGAGAGAAGGGATGAAGGGAGGGAAGGAGGGAGAGAGAGAAAGAGAAAGAGAGAAAAGTATGTTGAAATTAGCAGAGCTGGAAGGGAAGCGCCACCTAAGGCCTTTGATATCAGAGGTGGAGCTAAAGGATTTGGAGTTTGCCCTGCTGGATTTCTCCATTGCTCGAGTCCAATATTTCCTTACTATACCTCCTTCACTCCTTTTTTGGAATAGTAATGTATATTCTGTACCATTGTATGTTGGAAGTATGTAATTTGCCTCTTTATTTTGATTTTACAGGAGGTTACAATTCAATGACTTTGGGCTTTTAAATTGTGTTGAGAGTGTGAAAGACTATGGGGATCTTTGAAGTTGGACTAAATGCATTTTGTTTTATAATATAGGTAGAATGTTGTGGTCCCTTTGTAGGTTCATATATTTGAATGCTTGGTTTCCAGTTGGTAGAACTATTTGGGAAGGATTAGGAGGTGTGTCCTGTTGGAGGAGGTGTGTCACGAGGGGTGGGCTTTGAGGTTTCCAAAGCCCACACAGTTCCCAGGTAGCTTTCTGCCTGTCACTTGTGGAGCAGATGTGAGCTCTCAGCTACTGCTCCAGAGCCATGCTCTCTGCCATGATGGCCATGGACTCTAAGCATCTGGAGCCATGAGCCTCCAAATTAAATACCTTCTATTATAAATCACCTTGGTCATGGTGTTTTTTTTTTTTTTTTTTTTTTTTTTTTCTTTCTTCACAGCAATAGAAAAGAGTAACTATGACAGTGGGAACAAATATAGCAAAGTTAAAATGTTTAGGTTCATCTTTAAAGGAATGGTAAACATATGCATGTTGCAATGGTGTATGAGATTCAGTCATCATCATTACTTTAGAAATTTTGCTGATAGCTACTTAAGAGCCAGTAATCCACATCAGTGGCTGAAAAAAATAAAGCTGTTAGAATTGTTAGAGTATGCCAAGATCTTTTAATTCAGCACTTTCCTAAATGAGAAGTACTTACCACTGATACTGGAGGAAATTCTTAATTTTATAATTTCTAGGCTATTAGTAGAATGTAACTTGCATGTAGAATCTGATTTTCTTTTGGTGTTTTTACTTAGGAAGAATTCAGATGAAGGACACAAAGATGGTGAGACATATTATCCTTGTCTTTCTC